AAACCCCAAACCCTAAACCGTGGCCCTAGAAGCCCGAAGGCTCATGCCCTGCCTCCCCGACACCTCTCTGCCACTCTGACGTAGAGGCCGCAATACGTAGCCCAGGGCTTCAGAACATAACTGCATAGTTTAGGGTTTAGGGTTTAGGGTTTAGGGTTTAGGGTTTAGGGTTTAGGGTTTAGGGTTTAGGGTTTAGTAAGGGACTTTGCACGAAGCATTTCGACTATCGACCCTTCTCTTGCGCTCTTTGCTCGTCTTGTCTCTGAGGCTGTAGAGCAAACCACGCAAGACTCTCCCACAGAAGGAATCCAACACCCCAGCACCCTAAAACCACTAAGAACGCTGAACCGCCTAACCCGGAGGCCCATGTCCAAACGACATCCCAACAAAATACGGTAACCCCTAAACCCTATAAGCCGCAAGCAGCTTCCTCACTCTCAAGCCACTAGCCCCAAAAACCCGTAAATCCTAACCCTAAGCTTAGCACCAAAAAAGGCCCTAAAAAGAAGCCCTAAGCTTAAAAAGGTAAACTGAGACGGCAAGTCTTCTGAACTCCCGCCCTCCATGGCGTCCCCGGCCTTCTTGGCATTTGCGGCCCCGCCGGCTGCTGTTGCGAGCCCGTGGCCTGGTAGTTCCAAGATTCGGAATTTTCCGGCCGCTGAATCCAAACAGGCTTTAGGGTTTAAGGTTGAGGGTCTAAGGTTTGGGGTTCAGGGTTTAGGGCTTTTCGAGAATAGGGGACCCTAACATAGTACCCTAAATCGTAGGATCCTATTATAAGGACCCCCCAAAAACAAATTACCTAAACTTTAAACCCTAAACCCTGAACCCTAAACCCTAAACCCTAAACCCTCAACCCTAGACCCTAAACCCTAAACCCTAATACTTAAATACCACCAAAAGTAGGTAGAATAGTGGCCCGGCACCTCTAAACGGCGATTCTTCTACATCTTTCTGGGGGTCCAGGTAGACCGGAAATCCTATTGGGTTCGAGACCCAGAACACATGGGATTCACCCTGCACGCCCTGTCTTAGGGCCTACGAAGTTCAGGGGGTCGCCTTTATCCGAAATCCTGTGCTAAGGAAGCTGGGAGTAGAGGAGCCTCAAGAATGGGTAGTGCTTTAGGTGCGTGACAGTGTATGTAGATGTGTGCATCTAGGCATCTGTGCATACATATGCAGGCGATATGTATGTGTGTATGTGTGTATATATATATACATGTTATGTATATATTATGTATATACAGACACATGCACATACACATATAGTATACTCATAATTACCTCTGTGCTGATACTTCGTGAGCGATCTACATTCACCCAGTGGTTTATACTCTAGTATCCATCCTCAAATGTTTAATGTTGACTCCGTGTACATCCATCATCCATCCATGCATGCATGCACAAACACATGCATCATGCTGGGCATGCATGTATAATCATTTACATGCATACATGCATGCATGCTTGCACGCATGTAAATGGTTATACATGCTTTTGTTTCGTTCTGGCTGCTGATGTTGCCTGTATCGGCTCTGTGTGACTACACTGCCACCGTATCCTAAGTACCAAGGCATTGTACGCATTTTTATAAGCCAAAAACCCTCCAAGCTTAAATAAATCGCAACACGAGCCCTCAATTGCTAAACCCCCTACGGAAGCCAGAAACCGTTAGAACAACCCTGCACGGATAACCTAAACCCTAAACCCCTCCCAAAAACCCTAAACCCTACACCCTAAACCCCTCCCAAAAACCCTAAACCCTAAACCCTACACCCTAAACCCTAAACCCTAAACCCTCCATTGCCGCTTGCCGAGGCCCAGGCCCTCTCTGCGACGCGCTGCGACCGCGACGGCGAGAAGCAATCGGTCGGGAAGCCAGCCTTGAAAGGAGGGCACAAGGGGTTGCTGTATCCATGAGATATATATTTTTTCTTTTTATAATCAAATATCATCATCCAACATAGAATCTGACATTTTTTTGTTGGCATAAGAGTCCCTTAAAGGAACCCTTGTAGTAGAATCCAGAAAGTTGCAACATGATGATCCTCATGCCCCGAATTTAAAGTATACAGGATCCCATGATCCCAGCACATCCTAAATCCATGTTCCAAGTTTCTGGAGTCGCTGTAAGGAATCCTAAGAAGGAGCCCTAAAGAGTTCCATGAGGGCTCTTTGCATAGGGGTGCCTATGAGGATTCTACACAGGGTCCGTTGTAGGGTTTCAGGCTTTTGGGTTGAGGGTTTAGGGTTTCAAGCTTTTGGGTTTGAGGAGTTGAGAGTTTTCAGGAGCTCGACTGCCAAAATTCGCATAGTGGCAGTTGCTGAGGGCGGCGTACGACTGGCGGATATTATTCCAGGCCTTACATATAAACCCTGAACCCTACACCCACATTGTTCCAGGCCTCCTGTTGCTTCCAAGCTTCAGATCTGCAAGTTGAGGTCTCCCACTGGATGCAGTTCGACATCATCTTTTTTGCCTACCAAAGGGGCCGAAATAATTGCCAATACTACTTTGGAGGGTTTCTTACTATATCTTAAGTATAAGATGGCCCCTATACTACTTGTGATTGTGGCTGGCAGATACGCCCTAAACCCTAAACCCTAAACCCCTAAACCCCTAAGCCCCTACACTACTTGTGATTGTGGCTGGCAGATGCGCGAGTATGCGGCCAAGCATCGCGCATCCCAGGCCAAGACGGAGTCGGCCACAGGGAAGGAACTGCAGCGAGATGGAGGATATCACATTTAGGGTTTAGGGTTTGGGGGTTTAGGGTTTAGGGGTTTAGGGTTTAGGGCTTAGGATTCTTTCACGGCTCTGGTCACTGTCTTTGAGCAGGGCCTGCCGTGCGACATTTGGGAGTACGAGCTGGGCTGCGACGAGCTGCTTCACGCCTCCTTCGAGACGCTGCGGGTTTAGGGGCTCCAGGCGATTAGGGTTTAGGGTTTAGGGTTTAGGGCTTATGGGTACTATCTGAACCTGCACGTTGTCTTTACCTGTCGGCTGGATTTTGGAGATGGTTGCCGGGTTTGGGTTTTTGGGTGTAGTGTTTGATGCGTGCTTGGTTTCTCCGTCTTCCGATGCTTGATGGGGTTTCTGTCGGCCGCCAGTGGTTCCTGAACCTTAAGCCTTAAGCCCTAACCTTTGAACCTTAAATCCCTAAACCCTAAACTCTAAACCCCAAGTCCTTTGAACCCTAAACCCGTAAACCTTCAACCCTAAACCCTAGAACCAAAAAACAAACCTAAAACCCTAAATCCTTCAGCCTTAAGCCTCTAAACCCCCCGGAGCGCTTCCGGGTTTGGAGTTGGGCGTTCGGAAGCCGAGCCCGAACCGAGCCCGAGATGCTAAGGCTTAGCGTTTCAGCGTATGGGGTTTAGGGTTTAGGGTTGAGGGTACTCTAAACCTAACCCCCCCAACAAAAAACACCAACACCTTTCAACGGCTCCCTTTTACGGTCGTTATGTTTTGGGTGAAAAGGGACCGTAACTAATTTGGAGAACTACTTAAATCCAAAATCTCAACACCCTCGATCCCCGAAAATTCCAGGCGCCACTACTGCGCTCTTGCGGCTGCCTTGGCGGTCCCTGCAGGCAAAGCGAAAAAGGCAGACGGCTTAATTCGGCGGTTACGGTGTAGCCTTTGGGAATGTTTTGACTTTGGGTCTAGAGTTTGGTCTTGAGAATTTGGGGTTTGGTCTTGAGAAGTTGAGGTTTGGGGTTTGGGGCTTAGCGTAGCTGGAGGGAGGCCTAGTGTTGGTCAGACTCCCGTCTTGGACTTTAGGGTTTAGGGGTTTAGGGTTTAGGGGTTTAGGGTTTAGGGTTTAGGGTCTTGGAGTTTAGGGTTTAGGGTTTAGGGCTTATTGCAGCCGGGGCTAGGAAGGAGTTTTATGGTGGCTTATGCAAAGGGATTTCGGGATCTATGCGATGTGGAGCAGCTACTGACTAAGCTACTACCTTGCAAGGAGGCAAGGAAACCCTGAACCTCTAAACCCACAGCCGAAACATCAAACCCAAATCTTCGACAACTTTTGTCCTTCCCCAAAGCTGTAATTCCAGAGCTTCTAAGCTTCAATCACAGGCGCATAAACCTTCTAA